CGGGACCTGAACTTGAATCCAAGTTTTCTCTGTAAACAAACCTATTTTGATGCACAATGTGCCATACTGAGGTACAGGTGGGCTGTAAGGAATTCCTGGAACATAGCAGCAGGACAGGAGTGTCAGCTTGAGCTTGCACTGTCCCATGAACTATCCCTCCGGTTTTAAAAGCAGCAAATATAGGAGTGGTGGCAGTCCAGTCTATAAGATCCATACTGAGGCAGTGTAATGTAGAGTTTATAAAAAAAGTTGAAATATGCCATGTTTTGTCTGCTTATAGGCCCATATTTCTATGCATAATATAAGCTTATTTACACAGTGTTGAGTGTGATGGCCACACAAGTACAAGGACATGAGCATGTGCCATTTTAGTCAGCCTGCTATTTTCCTCGTTCCAAATCCCATAACTAATTTTTTTTTCCTTAGAAATGACAGTGCTCTCAAATTTATTTTTTTTCCTGATATATTTTTCCTCCTTTCTCTACAGTTCTTTGCCTTCGTGGTTACCTCCTGCTATGCTGGAAATACGTATTTTAGCCTTATATCCTGGCGATCACGGACTTTGCAGTAAATATTTTGTTAAAATGAATTCTGTAATATAAAATATCTTGAGGATTATTCACTTTTGATAAAAGCTTGGAAGAGGGGTGAGGCATTTTTGAACATTTCTGTTAGAACTGACACACTACAAACTGAGATCAAATGATTATTTATAATAATGCCATCTTTAGAGACGTCTAATACTGACTTTTTACTGTATAATAAAATTTCATACTGCTTCTTTTAAAATTAACATGATATTTTTCTAGACATTGTAAGTTGTCACTACTAAACCTTTAATAAATCTTATTCAATGTGCCACATTTGTAAATGTAACTTTTTAAATGTTACAGGTATTCTTTTGATACTGAGTGATACAAATCAAAACTTAAGATTGATATTGTCTCATTATTATGTATAAAAAGTGTCATTGTGTAGAAAAAAAGCATTTGAAACTTTAAAAATAAATAAACAAAATGACCGAACTGTGCATGTTTTGTAAACTGGGAGTAGAAGGTTGCTTTTTTTAATTTCTTTTTCAGAGTATAATACATACTACTAAGAAATTCAGATGATCCTGTCAGTTTGCATATTCTAACAGCTTCTCACATTATGAGTTTGCTTTTGGAACCTGCTACTGTAGATCTGAAGCTCTTTGAATGTATATTGTGCCTGAAACACATTATCCTAACAGGTTTCTCAGATCCAACAGTCCCTTAGTGCTTAGTCCTTAAACAATTGGGAGTATCACAAATCACTGGCTAAAGGCAGTACTTTTTGTTTTTTCTCCTCAGATTAGGCCATTAATCTGTTGTAATTCAAATCTGGGCTTCTAAATCATATTAAATGATATAAAGGTTAAATCCATAGAAGAATTGTGAAGACACCACTGCTAGAAACAAAGAAATTCCTCCCTCCTTTCCTGTCTTCTGGCATCATCTGCAACTTGTTAGTTTAACAAATGAAGTTGAGGCTCACATTTAAATATCTTTGTATCAAGCAGGAGTATGACAGGAGATTATGGCTTTCCAAACAGATACCTTTGAAAATTACTTTCAAATACAAATTACCTAAGGATTTTTTTCCAGGAATTATGTGGAGAGTGTAAGGTTGTGGTTATTTTGTGATGCCATTTAAAGTTTTCCTAATTTGAAACTACTAGTGAATCTTTTATTCCTGGATTAAGAAGATTTGGGCTGTCTTCTAGTTTTCAAAAACTTACTTGGATGATTATATATGGTAGTAGAGAAACCTTACTGCCTAAAAAACCCTCTATTTCCCTTGTAACTAAATGGGGTGTGGTTACTTACATATGTGCCTTGCAGAGGAAGATTTATCAGCAGCCAGCTAATGCTGTTCTCGATCACATGGTTTTGTTGTTGATTGTCTGTTGGAGTCATAAGATTTCAGTGTAAGGGAAGCCAAAATATTATTTAAAAATCTATATTTGTCTGCAGATTGCATTTGGCCTGTGCAACATAGGTCAGGCTGTTTGCTGCTTGCTAAAATTATCCAGTTGTGAGAAGGAAGAATGGCTACCGACTATGCATTTTATCTACACAGATAAAATGTGTCATTAAAATCCCTTTTTTTTTTTTTTCCACTGCTGGAAAAAAAAAATCAGAAGCATTGAAATGATCTAAATATCAACTGATAAAATGTGACTAAAAATATAGCCAGAATTAAAATCTCATCAGTGATTTCTCCTCAGTAAAAAGGCTTTAGTAGTAATAGAAATACTTTCTTAAATGATATTTGATGTACTTGTTTTAAGTCCAAAGAATGTGACTATGTTTGCACAAGCATTTCATGATTTTGTGGTATCTGTAATATTCTGGTGTAAAGTTAGAACCCAGACATCATTTGTGGACAGAAGTAGCAAGAGGGTGTAGAGCTAAGAGGAAGTTCTATGTTTCATCCAGTTTATCTAAAACTGTCATGGAAATTGTGTGTTACATGTCAGAATAAACCCATTAGTGAAGGACAAAACCAGATAAGGAATGATTCTGGCAAAATACCTACCTGCTCTCGGAGTCTTCAGCACTGAACCTCAAGGGGAGATGTGCAGAATGACTTCCGAAGACAAATCTGTGATTCGAATCCTTAATTCTGAATTTTAAAAATACATACTAGACAAAAATTTGCTTTGTGCTTGGCCTTGCTTTTTTTCCCCCCCCAAACCATAACTTACCTACCTTCCTCTTTCCTTTTAGAAAGATAAGTGTCTTACTTCCCATGCTCTTTCTCATCTGTCTCATTTCTCATCTGTTGCTCAGATACCAACCTGTTTTTCAAGTGTTCTGAATATCTAGTTAAAATTGAAGGAATCTGTACAAACTGAGCATTCCTCCTGAAGTTTCCTCCTCCTATTTCAGGCCTGAAGAAAGGCCCAAAAGGTTATCTTCCAGCGCATTAGTCTTAAATATTGATTTTCAAACTATGACAATGCATTTGTATATTCTAATATTGATAAAGAAGACAAGCTAGCTGTGGTTTATCATATAACAATTAAAACAACACTTGTATCTACGAGCATAGGTTAGTACCCATAAGATTGAAAGAAACCTTAAAAGAACAACTGGTAAGTGATGAAGTCATTAGTGACATTCTTAATACAGATATTTAGAATAATAAACAAAATGCTAATCAACGTGCAAAATGAAGGTATTTAATATTATAAATAACTTCTTTCAGAGAGTCTCTCTGAAAACTCTAAGTCACCTACATATATAAGGATGCTCGATGTCAACTTTTGGCCATTATTTTTCATTTATTAAGGAGTTGTCAGTATCTTTTTCATTATCATACATAACACACTTAACAGTACAAAGTAAATAGCATGAGAACTATAATAAAAACTTCAAATGTAATAGTGTTGTAGATTGACGTTGTCCCAGTGATTCACAGAAGATGCCTATATTCTACTCAATATATTCTACTGAGTAGAAAATATGACTGTTATTCTACTTGTATTAATTTAAAAGTTTTTCTGTTTCACTGGGCTGAACTCGAATTACCTGGGCCCCAGTCACTTACACAGTTTCAAAAGAAATAAAGAACTAAAGAAGCTGAATGAGCAGTTAAAAATATCGTATTTCTTAATAGGAAGTGCAGAAGTTACGAGAACCTTCCTCCACAGGGCTTATAGAAACCTGTAACCATGCACACTTCTGAATAGGAACTCTAAGGAGAAGAGGAGGAAAAAAAAAGGCAGCTGTTTAAAAACAGAACAAAATCTTTTTTCTTGGCAGCTAGCATTTTACTCTTGTAGAGGTAGCCAGTGTTGTAGATTTGATATCTCATGACGTGAGACAAATGAAGTGAGACAAGTAATATCTTTTATTGCAACTACTAGCTGGCTTAATAGAAGTCCAAAATTATGTACTACTTAGTCTACTTCAGACTATTGGCCTGGCAAACCCATCCTGGTTATGTAAATTGCTTACACTAGCCCCTTATTTGTGGTGGGGATCATCTGGACTTGCCTGTCTTTCCTCCTAGAACAATTTTAGTTGCTGAAGGAGCTATTAAATACTAAATACGAACAGAATGCGCATCCTAACTCTAAAACAGAGCAGCAGAAGATGGGGTTACTACTCCAATGAGTATGAAAGTGGCATATACCCAGCTCAGAGGCCCACTATTACCTCACGTGTCAGAAAGCAGAACAAGTTATTTTTAAACTTGAGGAAATATTTAGCTTCCTTTTCTGCGTTTTGTTAGTATCTCTGCATGATTTAATTCAAACAATGGGGCTGAGACACTTGGGCAGCAACAGAGAAAACTGTAATGACTGTCCATTTAATGCAAATGGGGTTTATCTTCTACAAGATCGGGAATCAGAAGGTTTGGGTTGTTTGTTTGAAAGAATAAATGTTGTTTGCAGCTGCACCTCTACAGCGAAGCACCGGAGTAGCTCCCCTGCAGGAGCATCGCTGACAAACCTCGACATGCCGAGGGGGTCTTTTAGGATCCCAGGAAAGCTGCTCGCCGCTGCGGTGGCCGGTTCTCTGCGGAGCTCCCCTCCGGGACCCCGCGCTGCACCGCGAGGCGCCCCCCCCTCCTGCCTGGAAACCTTCCCTTCTGTTTCCATGTAATCCCCTGCACTGGGGGGCCGCCGGGCGTCCCGCCGCGGCTGCCGCTCCGGAGCGGCGCGGGGGGAGCGTCCCTTCGTCTGCTCCCAATAGCTGGGCTTCGTCCCGGACCCCGCTTCCCCTGGAGCGGTGCGGCAGCGTCTCCCCCGCGGGAAAGAAACCGCCGCGGGCAGAAACCCCCCGCGACTCCCGCCCTCCCCGCCCCACGGCCGCCCCGGGCGGGGAGCGCGGGCGGGCGGGAACGCGCCGCCTCCGCCCGGCCCCTGGCAGCAGCCTCGGGGGCGCCGCTGTCCCGCCCCGTCCCGCCCCGCCCCATCCCATCCCGTCCCGTCCCGTCCCGTTCCCCTGTCCCGGGACGGGCAGCGGCGAGAGCAGCTTGGGACGGAGCCATGTCTCACGGGGCACGGGTGATCCGCACCGGGGTGAGCAGCGGGGGCCCCGCGGCCCCGCCGGCCCTCACCGTCGCCTCCTCCTCGGCGGGCTCGGACGCGGAGCTCATGGACGGCGCCTATTTCCGCTCCTGCGCCGGCATGCTGAAGGTGGCCCAGATGGTAAGGGGCGAGCGGGGAGGGGGCAGCCCCTGGGGGCTGTCGGGGCTCCTGTCGGGGCCCTCGGAGCTCTCCGCGGGTACCGCGCTCATCCCTGCGGGACGATTCTTGTGGCGACGAGTCTGGAGAGCGTCGTCAGGGGGTGCTGGGGCCGCACCTCTTGCGGGTTTCGTCGCTGCCCCTCAGCTCTCGCAGTTCGCAACGTTACGGAAAGTTCATGTTCCTCAGTCTATCAGAAGTTGCCTTTGCGTCTTCTTAAAGCAGCGACGAGCACTTCTGTTCGTTCAGACGAACGTGCAGGAGCCCAGAATAGCCAGTATTAACTTTTTGGCAACTAATAACGATAACATCGTGATGCGACAGCACATCGTGCTGCAGTGCAACACCTCATTCCTTAGCAGTTTTTGGAAGAAAGCTGGGCCAAGTGCCTGTGCCGACAGGGATCTGGTAAGGGTGAACACCACAGCTGGGACTGACGGTCCAGCTGGCTCCGTGCCCTGTCTGTCAGAGATCTCCAGGCGGTGACCTAGTGACACGGGGAGGGATGTGGGAGATGTATGGCTGAAATTCAAAAGAAATCAATAGCGGAGTGCTGCCAGAATTTGAGCTGATGCCTTGACTTAGTGCAGGCAATTTAGCTCCATGCAGATGTGGAGAGGATTAACAGATGGATAGGCTCTTTCTTATTTTTATGGCTCACAATTATCTGTGGAGAGATCTGTCTCCTTAATTACAGTAGTAGCAGTCAATAATGCCTGGGAAAGAGCATGGAAGACATGATGTAGCGATACCTCCACACATACATTTTCATCCTGCAAAAACTTGTACCTTGACAACATTTTGTGCTGGAGTTGTTGCTTTCATCTTTTATAAGCCCCCAACGCCGTTTTCCCCCCTACCTTTATTTGTCCAGTCATTTTTTTAAAGTTGTGTGGGTTACTAGCATCCCGGTTCCTAAATCGACATTAGAAGGTAGGAATCATTTTGTTCTAGATTACCACGGAGTAATATCAAATCCTGAAGTTTCTCTTTAAAAGCTGCTCAGTTTCTTCCAGTTCGTTATTAGCCATCAGCTGCCCTTAGAGATGAGCCTTCATAGCGAGAGGCAAAACTGGATGTGACTGGTCATGGCTACCTGCACCTGCTGAGCGTTTGTCCTGTGCTTGTGAGACCTCAGACTTGTCCCTCACTATGAATTCTGTTTGGTAGGAACACAAACAGTTGTCTGCTGCCTTCTTGTTGCTTGGGTTTTTCCCAAACCATTGAGTGCATCTGGAGAATCTTTTCAGAAGACAAGTGTCATCCTTTCGAGCGTGTATCTACATTGCAACTGAACCTTTAGCCCTAAAACAATAAACTTGTGCTTTGCTTTTTGCTTTTACCACTGTGGAGAGAACAGATCCTTTTATGGACTAGAAATAACTAGTCACCTCTGCTCTCCGTCGTGCTGTGGTGTCACTGCAGCTATGACAAGTGACTCTTAAAGCTAGCATGGCATGCTGATTTGTGCTGTAATGTCAGTTTTTGGTGCACACATTAAGTGTGCGCATACTTTACATGCTTTACATATTTTCATGTACTAGATGTAAATCTCTGTAATTTTATGTAATACTTCACATACGTTACCATAAAGTCATATTTTATCAATGCAGTTCAATATAAAATTTATCAGAATTTAAGCAAGTGGCTTTCTGCGGTGACTTTAATAAAGGTTAAAATAATGTAAATTATTTTCCTTTTGCACTCTTTCAGCTTCACATTCTTATATTTTTTCTGTTTTCCAGTTTGCCTGTAAATAGGAGTTACCTCAGGTATTCAAGGAACTTTTGGCAAATGAACTTCTTTTAATATCACATATCACAATAGTGTCTTCTTCTCAAATAATTCCATAAGAAAAATAAATGTTTGTGTTGTAGTATGTAGAAATAACCAGGATAGGTTAGTTCTAAATTAACTCCTGCACCCAGTAAAATAGAGAGCTAAATATTTTCACAACTCTCCTTTATCTCTTCTCAGACAGTATTTCTCTATATCCACAGATCCATTTACGTAAGCATTTAGTTCTTCTAGTATGAAGTGATGGCAGTATCTCTTTTCTTAAAAATTTTTTTGTGCTAAATCTATAAACATTCCTGCACTGGTGTTAATGTGGCTGGTGGGACTGTAGTCTTACTGAGAAGGAGAACCATTATGCTGGCAGAGTGCAAAGGTAAGGTCTTTTGGGTTAGATATATGTCACACTAAGTTGTGTACTGTACATAATCAATTGTGGTTGTAGGTATGAAGAGGAAACATTACAATTTTTGTTATCTCCTTTCTTCCTCAGTCCCTTTTACCAAGAAGTAAAGGATATGGTAGAAAGCAAGAAAGAAATATTTTGTCATTTACTGTAATGTTAGAGGCTGTTTGCTGTGCTTGCAAGCTAAAAAAAAAATAAATTGGTTGTATGTATATGTGCATTAAATAATTCTAATAGATGACAACAATATTCTATGGAAATTATACAAAAGAAATAAAAGATCATTTTACAGCTGTTCTTCTGTAAGACAGAAGGACTAAAACTCAGGAATATTGAAGAGATTGTGCAATGTGAATTGCTGCTAATTTCTGAATGTTACCAGTGCTTTCTCTTGAAATTCTGGGTGCTGTGGTGTCTAGCGTAGAATGAAATTAGGAAGAAAAAAAAAGTGTTTCTTGTTTGTAAGCCTACACAAATTCCTTTACTTTTTTTGCTAGAGAATTTCTTTAACCTTGCAGAATTATTATGGCTTTGAAAAGACAGTGTATTTCATGCATTGACTTCAGAGCTTAGGGAATGGTCTGTAAGAAAATAAGATGGAAGAGATTAACATAGTTATGTGACTTGTGTTTTTTGTGTGGTAGTAAGACAGTTTGAAACCTGCTTTTCCATGTGTGACTGTTACTGATGTAAGTTGGGGCACCGTTTCAAAATCCAGGCTGAATTGAAGCTCTCATGTTAAGAGGAAGTTACAAAGCATCTTCAACATCTAACTTACTTCAGCTAGTTTAACTTGATGTTGTTAATATAGCTTTCACTTTTTCTTTCCTTTTTTTCTTCTCTTTTTTCCTCCCCTCTTTTCCTCTCTGTTTTTGGTGTTCTTTGGGTTTTTGGGGTTTTTTTTGTTGGTTTGGTTTGGTTTGGTTTCATTTGGGTTTTTTTGGTGTTTTCAGTTTTGCCAAGATCTCTTAGATTCACAGGGATACATGCAGGATCTGGGATCCCAGTGTGGCCACCTTGGTTCTATACTAGCAGTGTACTAAGTAAGTGTGTGAGTGAATGTGTATCAGTGTGCACAGTACACTTAAACCAGAGAAACTAAATGACTTGAATTTTAGCCAGCCTGCCAAAATCGACACACGTGGCAGTCTTCAGCATGTTGCACTATCTGTGCTGATTTGTTTGAAGCACGTTTGCTCTGTGTCCATGCTACTGCTGGCCTGTTTTATTGTGAGACTTTCTAGGAACCTGTGTTGTTTAGCTTGGCAAGTTCTCAGTAGATGGGTTCTTGGAAACTTCTTGAGGCATCCTGTGCCCTTAGAGACAGCAGTATGAGTGTGCATCCGTATTGTCACCAGAGTGGCTCAAATGCCAGTGTTGATAGATCCAAACAAGTCTGATTCAGCTGAATTTCTTGTAAAGCTCTCATGTGCTTTTTATATTTTTACTGCTGAACTCTGGAGGATGCCACTGATGCTGTATTGGACTAGGTCCTGCTTTCAGCACAGCCCATGTTTGACACTGGAGCCCGTGTATCTCACCATCTTAGGCACTTGGCTGGTAGGAACAGCTGTGGTTGTATCACCTGTCCAAAGTGTCTGATGCAGAGATTTGCAGGAGCGTGACCACTCTAGATTGAAAAGGAGTGTTGAGAGCTCACATGTAGAAGAGCCATCACAGCACGTGCTTGTGTAGTTCTTGCAGGCTTCTCAAGCTGTTCTTGGACTGCTCCTTTTTTCTGGACTCTGAGAGGTGTGGAGTAACCCATGGCCTTCTTTGCCTCTCTTTCATCTACTTCAGGTTGGGCCAAGCTAACTGTGGTCACAGTTCAGACTGAAGAGGATTGTTCCCACAATAACACTGTTGTTACTGTTAAAATAGTTCTGTCACAGTAAGCAGAGACTCAAAATACAGCGTGCTTTAAGCTAAAAACAGTGCTGATTCTGTAATATGAGCCAGGAAAGAGCAGTTTCACCAGACAGAAGAAAATCAAAATTGCCTTCTCAAGGCTGAAGAAAAGATTTACAAGCAATTGCAATGTAAAAAAAAGGATAAACTCAATAAAAGTTGACTTAACATCATTTTAATTTGTTAAAAATGGTAAGGCAATTGTTAAAACTTTTCTGCTAAGCATCTATTTCATTTCCAAAGCATGTCTTGACAAAAGCAATGACATACTTGACAAGTGAATGAGCAACAAGACAGTCTGTAATTCTGAGTAACTTTGAAGTGTGCTGAAACCTCTCTGGGCTATTTGTATACTAACACACAGTTGAATAATAGTATTCAAGAGAGTATTCATTCATCTAACACTGAAAGCTAGAAAATGCTGGTAGTTAGGTTGCTAGAGCCAAGTTCTGTCTCTGAATGTGCTGTATCATATCAGACAAATTTACTGGGGAGCTATATGCAGAAAAGGTTGAAATATAAAAAGAAATCAAAATCTGCTTTGAAAGAAAACAATTCCTAATCAAAACCATTGATACAAGAAAAGGAAATTCACAAACGCAAATGATGCTTGGAATGATATAAGAGCTACTCAATCTTCTGACTTGATCTTGAGACTGAAATGTCTTTCTGTCCATGGAGGCGATTGAAGTAAAACATCTAATTCTTTTCAGCAGTGCGTCAGTAACATCATTTTTTCCCTGTGGTAATAAAGCTGCTCAGTCAGAACAGAGGAATTGTGGTGATATGCAGAGATGCTGAAACTTGTAAGCCTGTCTATGAGTCCCATGTAGACTGTGCTTTCTGGTGGATTGAG